AACGTGACATCACATGCTTGTAAGCCAAARTTGTTATGGAAGTCTTCATGAAACTTCAAGAGAACGTCATCTTTTCTGACCTTGTGTAKAATATTCAGCATTATTAACACATCACAAATGAACATCAGAGAACAGATATTAAAAAATTAGAGCATAAGATATTTGATTTTATCATATAATTATCTATGAAATACCTATATTTCTTCATTTCGTAAAATTGATACTAAAAATTGATACACATTCGAGGTTTCTCAGTCTATATAGTAAAAGTAGGGAAAAAACATATTTTACGACATAATTTGCTTTCATATGTAATTAYATGATAAACAGAATATTACATGGTCACTTGGTATCTTTGCGCGCCCATGTAATATCCTCCATATAAGAAATCAAAAAATAGCATCTTGATTATTTTTGTTGAACAAAACAGTGTCCCATKAACTGAGGAAAATAAAATCACACACAAAGATCACAAAGGATTTAGTTTTTTTCAAGTAAAAATCCTTTTAAAAAGCTAATTGTTGACCAAGAGAGGGTCCAACAAACTGTAGTATATCTCTGCTCWGACGAAACCCACAGGGGTGGCGAATGATATGTTCACAATGCGATTTTCAAGGACTATTTTTGAAAATGTATTTGATGTTTGCGAACATTTCCAGTGTCGATTTTCAAAAAATAGCCACATTTCAATCCAAAAAGCAACATTTCAATTTTATCAGATTCAAGAAGTTTAAGTAGAATTCTCACCTCATGGATGTAGCCTTCATATCGCGGTGCATTATAAGAACCATCTACAAACAAAACAACTCAGAAAAAAACTAAGAATTGATGTTCACATTAAAACAAACACAGAAATTGATACAGAGAAAACAATTTTMTTTTAGCATAAACAACTATTGTGATCATTTTGTGAAGGAATGAGAACAACTGCAGGGGTTCCTGGAGAAAAACAGTACATCTTTTGAGAGATCTATAACGTAGACTGCGGAGCAACAAAGTCGGAGTATTCTCTCACATGATAATATGATGTTTTAGTACTAACCACAGAGAGACACAACTACAGTGTCTCCTATTAGCAAAGATGGCCTTCCTTCAGCCAAGCCAGGAATATAAAGACTCAAGAATTCGCCACATATGTCCATCGTAACCTTGAAGAAGATATTGATTATCAAAAAACAATGTTGATAATATGTTTGAAAGGAAATTCATACTAAGATGACTAAGATTTCTGTATCCATATGCTGAAATTAATTCCCATCTACAATTTCCCATCAACAGCACATTAAATAATGACATACATTTTGTAAATCAAACTCTCTCATATCCATTTCCATCTGAAGTTCTTCAGCGTGCAAGAGAGCACTAAATCTGGCTGAGTAATTCTCTAGAGTCA